CAATTATTCTGGAAGGCAGCTGTTGCTTCCTCAGGGCAATTAGAGATGTGCAATAAATATGTCCTTGCCAGTACCACCCCCATCCTCATAACACTTATAAAAATCCTTGGATTTATCATGTAGTGTCACATCCATAATATCCATGTTTTCAGGAGAGGGTCCATTTTTGCTTTGGGAGATAAAGTAAACAAATGTTTCTAAATATTAATTTTATTTGGTACCGCACTACCCTCATCACAGGAATGAAGACCAGTAGAAAATACAAATATCAGAAGAAAAATGAAGCACTTTCATTCAACAAGGATGAAAAATATCCAAAAAGGACCTGTGTACCAAGAACATTTCTCACATAAGATCTTACCCTCTGGCAGGTAACATCGATTGTGGATGCTTGAGTGGAGATCCCAGTGTAGTCTAGTAGCAAATATTTAAGTTGCTGTCACTAAGATAAGAGTGAAAAAGAATTATAGCTAGGTGAAATGTTCATAGTACGTCTAATTGAATGGTTTACATATACTGAGCATTTCAATTAAACTACTAAGCTTACACATTAGGGTCTGACAGTGTCTTAAAGTAAATAAAGTTAATTAAACATGTTACTTTGTGATGCTTCATTTAACTGTTAGCTTGTATTTTGTAGCAAATGCCACTTCTACAGTGACTCTCTCATTGAAAATTAAAGAAATAAAACTCTTGATAAATCATAATTTAGAATGCAAGGGTCAGCCTAAGTGAGAGACCAAAACACAATGAGTTTGATCATGATTTCATAGCTAAGTTAGTCAGTTCCCAAGCAGGCTGGCAAACCTTATACTGACAGATTTTTTTTTGCCAAAGTAGTAAATCAATAGTCATACAGAATTTGGAGTACTGGCCAAAAAAATATAACGGAAGCTTTTCATCTTGCACTCATCAGGAAATACTGATACAAGGGAAAAGAATATTTATGCTCTATGACGGAATAGCACTTATTGCTGACAATTCACTAGAAATATCAATGTAAAGGAAAAGAATATTTGTGCTCTATGACAGAATAGCGCTGATTGCTGGCAAGTTTGCTCTGACTTGTAGATGTCTTGCCTCTAAAAGATGTTCTGCCTATCACACAAAATGAATAACAGAATTTCAGTGCCAATGTAATGCTCAATATGTAGGCTGTGACTCTAAAGACTGGTAGATTGTACCAAACAGCATATTCTTTTGGCTGTTCACAAGCGGCAAGGTACTGACCATGTTCAACAAGACTGTGCTTGCAAAACTAAAGACAGTGTCCAATATTAAATGTGATTCCATGATTTGGCAACATTTACAAAATAACCTGGGAGGATGAGAAGAATTATGTTGACAACCAATTTAGCATTGCCAGTCAGGCTCATGTTGTGGTGCACTTGTGTATACTGAAAGTTACATTTATTAAACCACATGGCCCTACACTTTTCAGATATAAATAACATACACACACTACTCCTGCTTCAATTCAACAAAATTGGTGATAGCCATCTGCTGGTTCATTTCTAGGAGAAATGCCTCAACTAATCAGGGTTAAGCTGCCTGATTTAAAATTAAAATAAAGCTCAGCAAGTGAACTGGCAGTCACCATTGAGCTGATACATGCTCCTTGGCAACACCTCTACCAATCAGAGACAATATTACAAACATGTAAAATTTTGTTGGCAATCCAGAATGGTACCTACTTCTCACAATACAAAATGCTAAATCATGACTTGGATTACCTTTCCAATGTGCAGTAGGTACAGCACAGCCTTAAATAAAAACCACAGGTTAAAGATGCCCAGAGCAGTACTGCTCCATAATGCCTGCAAGGCTGACAGAGGGTGGAAAATTCAGAATATTGGCATCATCTTCTGCACACATCAACAGCAAAAAAACAAGTGTGACAGGCAATAAGAACACAATGAAGATAACACCAACTTGACCTCCACGTTCTCTTCACAACTTACTTTCCAACCTATCTTTGTGATCTCAGCAAATTTGGTAACCATACTTTCTACTCCTTCATCCATGTCATTTATATCAATTTTAAATAGTTGAAGTCCCAGGATTGACCTCTGTGACTCACCACTTGTTACATCTTATCAATTTGTAAAGGCCCATAGACTGGCTAACAGGAAGCAATCTTCAATGCATGCCAATACGCTCATTACTACATTATTGCTGAAAATAAAAGCTCCTAATGTGAGGTGGCATTTTATCAAATGCCTTCTGGGAATGTAAGTACAGTGCATCCATCGGTTCTCTTCTATCCACAGCATGTTACCTCCTCAAAGCACCCCAATAGATTGGTCAAAGATGATTTCCCTTTCACAAAACATGTTGATTCCTCCTGATTATCTTACCAAATGCCCTGCTATAACTTATTAAACAATAGCTTCCAATAGTTTCCCCATGATATACGTTAAGCTAACTGGCTATAGTTTCCTGCTTTGTCTTCCTTTTAGAATAAGTGTGTTACATTCACTATCCTCCAATCTAATGGAACCTTCCCTCAATCAAGGGAGTTTTGGAAAATTAAAACCAATGCATCAACTGTCTCACTCCCACTTTTTAAAAGACCCTACGATGAATTCCGTTACGAATGGACAAATCCCAGTCCACAGCTCCAACAATTTATTCAGTACCACTTCTCTGGTATTGTGATTTTCTTAAGTTCCCCCTTCCCTTCCATTTACTGACTTATTGCTGCTCTGGGATGTTACTTATTTCCTTTACAGCGAAGACTGTTGCAAAATGTCTGTACAATTCATCTACCATTTTTTTGCCATTATTAATTCTCCAGATGCACTTTCTAGGACCAATGCTTACTTTGTTAACTTTCCTTAAAAATATGTATGAAGAAACTCTTAGTATCTACTTTTATATTTTTGGTTGACTTTCTTTTGTATTAATTGTTCCCTTAACATTTTTTTTTGGTAATTCTCTGCTAGTCTTTCATATTCTGTATTGTTCTACGAACATTCCATGAACTTGTCCTCGAGTCTACCTTTGCTAATTTGATTTGTTCCAGTCTATTATAAAGATTAAAATCCTCCTTGATAATTACATACAGTTACAAAATCCTATTATATCTGGATTATTTCTACATCCAAAGATATAGTTTTTATTGTGGGATCCACCAGTGTTATCTTGCTTTTTGTTATTCCTCATCTCCATCCATAGTGATTCTATTCCTTGATGATCTAAGCCAAGTGCAAGTCCTATGGCAGTGAGCTCAGACTAATTTAGGAGGGGTCTATCTCAATGAAATACTTCTCTTACCCCTCTGCACGTACCAGGGCTCCATGAACCACATTTCCTTCAACCTATCTTGCTCAATTGGTAGTATTCTTACATAAGCCAAAAGGTTGCACGATCAAGACCCACTTCAAGAACATCAGCATAAGATCCAGGTCAATAGTTTGCAGCTAGTTGTAATGTCACTGGACGAGTGATTAATTCAGAACCTCAGGCTTATGTTCTGGGGAAACCAACTCAAATCACACCATAGAAATTTGAATTCAACTAAAATCTGGAATGAACAAAAACCTAGCCTAATAACGACCATGTAATCATTCTTGATTATCATAAAATTCCATTTGGTTCACCGCCTCCCCCCAACCCCACCTTTAGGGGAGGAATTCTGCCATTGTTATCCTGTCTGGACTACATGTGACTTGAGATCCACAGCCATGTGGCTGACTTTCAACTGGCAATTAGGGACAGACAATATATGATGGCCTTGCTGGTGCCACAAGCTTCTCATGAATAATTTTTTTTAAAAGTCCTTAGTGTAATTCTAAGAGATGTCTTTGCTATTTGAGGTGCTTTTTTTGGAGGCAAGATGATAAGCTGAGGTGGTCAACATGAAAAGATCACAAAAAAAACTACTGAAAATGCAGCAGCGGGGTTTCTCCAGTCCTTGACACAATATTAGCCCCTCCCACAATACTGCTAAATTAACTATTCAATATTTCAAACTGATCATTTTGGGGCCGCAAATCTTTGTCAATATATGATGGTTTTTCAACACCAAGTAGTTAGTTATAAAGGAGACTAGGGCACACCAATTCCTTCCCTTGAAAAAATACACATCTCATTGTCTGGAACAACTTGACAAAGGGCCACAATTCTTGTTCTACTCTTTCTACTTCAATGCCTCATGCCTGAAGAGTTTCATATATCGTGCAGACTATGCAATTAGCACGTTGAAACTATGCATGCAGATTATGTCCAATCTACTCAAAATCTTGAGTGTTGAGGGACAACTTCCAAGGGGATAAATGGTGCAAATATGCTTTTCAAATTTCCGTATGTTGACTTCTCTCTGACCTGTAACCCTTCTTTTGATTCTTTTATGTAAATTAGTTTGAATTTTTAATTCAAAGTTTCCCCGGCCTACGTACTTTGCCTCCCCATTCACAATTTGCTCCTCGCTGCACGTACTGTGAAGTGACAGTAATTTCCACCCATTTGCAGATCTCATTATTTTTTACTTATTGGCCACTTCTCAGCTAGTGTACGAATTATAAATCTTTTCCTTAAACAATCCCCACTCATTAAAACTCACAAGTAGTTAATATTTGGTTTCTAAATCAGAGAGACCTTACCACACTTCTAGCTTAATTGGACACTTTCCATCAGTTTGAAAGTAGTTTTCCAAGCAACCTTGTCTTTAATTTAGATATACATGTGTGATATACTCGGTTATCGTATGGATGTGAAATATTGATTGTACAATTGGTACAGTATCATAGGTAACTTTCCATTACAGACTCCCATGCAAGAGCAAAGTCCCAAGTCTATCTCAGGCATGTTAGAGATTACAAATCTGGCTGATCAAGGTGACTTCAATCTCATCACTTTGGGAGGAACCTGAGAGAAAAGAATGGAATTCTAAAACTATCATTAAACCATGGGAAGGGCAATTACCTAGGTGCAAGGAGAACAATGCACACATTATGTTTCAGCTATGATATTGTAAACAAAACATAGCGAACAAGCCAAAATGATAAAATAACTTTATTATGGACAGGATGACAATATATTTGTAGAGGCTAACAGATCTCAACTCATGAAAAAACACTTTGTATTTAGATAAGAAATCCAGCTGAGTAGAGTCTTCTCTCTGAAAGTCAGATAATTGTTCTTCCTGTAGTTGCAAGAAGTGCACCCAAATAGTCCAAGTGGGGACATTTAGTTACAGGTGGAGATGGGACTGTGAAATTCTGTCACCATATAAATGAACAGTATTAAAAAAGCTGGCCAGTGAATTTCATTAATAATTGGGTGGATATCGGTTACATAAGGAAGGAACGAGAAATATCTTTGCAAGACCAGCCAAAAATAAAATAACAAATCTTGTTCGACTGTTTAGATCATGTTCACAACGCCAGTAAAAGGAAGGAGAGACAGTTATCAAAGGGAATCAATTAAATGAAGAACTCATGGGTTCCCAATGAAAAACTTCAGTAGATCGTTAATTTGATTAGGTGAATACTTGATGTTACTCATATCACACATTACCATAAAATTTACTTGAGACAACTGATTTAATAACAGAAGTTATACACTCAAAATCCATTGTTTTAAAATGTCGAGTCATTGTTATAAAGTCACTTACTGTTTTGTTGCAATTTCAGAGTTAACAGTGACAGATCAGAAGCCTCAACTAAATTTACACACTGCAAATGCATTAATTTCTGAAAGATGGGATTTTTATTACCAATAAATCTATCAGTCACTTTTCATTTCAGATGAGAGATGGGTACATCATAGAATAACAATCAACTTTTTACAAGAAAATTAGTTTTTAGTAGAACTCAAATAATCATGATGCTTAGAAGCCTCTTCTATACAGTTCCATCTAAACATGATCACTCTTAAAAAATGTAGGTAGATAAAGAAAACGTGCCCCATACACGTATCAAACTCTCATACACTCACCTCATTAGCATCCCTACTTTCAAATACAAACCACGGTCAGTATTAAACATGATCCACTTTGAGATACTTTATATGTACACGTATTAATTTCAAAAAATCTTATTTCCCCTCTGGAATAGTTGGCTACTGGACCAGGAAATGGGAGATTTTAGCATTCTAACTTTAAAGTAGGATTCCCAATTTGAAAAGCAAACAGGTGCACATCTTGGTCAATGTCAAATATTTTCAATGGTTAAACTCTTTTTTGCTCCAAAGAGTAAGGAACTGGTTATTTCAATTAATACCAATTTTAACCTCCAGTGCAAATTAATCTTTGCCATAAAATTAACTTGCTCTTATACCCAGCAATCTTCATTGCATCTGACACACCATTGAAAACAAATGGCATGGCACTTGAAAATTCAATCAGTAAAATCTCTTAGCAAAATAGTGCAGCACTATATTCAATTCCCCATACCATCACCCATCAAGTACTTACCAGTCCAAGGAAGTGTTAATGCCAAGTTTTATTACAAAAATACCCAAAAATAAAATGCCCCAACACTATAATACCATTAAACACTGCCATGTTTACAATATGTAGTCTTCAGGCGATCTGAAATTAAAACACATTTTGTGAGAGCACTAGACATTCAAATACCCAATGTTAAAGAATTAAAGTTTGTTTTTAAAGGCAAAAGTCCACCATTGTGTTTTAAAATAAAGCATACCTGTTTATAGCTGTATTTAAAAATGTCAGTGTTTATGTAAGTGCTAAACAATACTTTGAACGTATATTCATACACAATTCTGAACGAAGTGTTGCTTAAATTTACTGACAATCCAAATTTACCTTAAAAACTTTTAAAACTGTCTTTAAGAAGAAACATGTTCACAGATCACACTGCTGGCACAAGTCTAATACAATCAGGCAGCTAGAACAATAATAGACTACAGATATTATATCCCATATGTAAACATTCAGCTTTTATTGTACAATTGTTTAAGAGGTCTCCTTTTGTTTAGCAAATGTTTGGCATCTTGTCTTCGAAAATACTCTAATGTTGGACTTTCTACACCTCCCTTTAACCTGGAGTTGCTGCACTGGCTGCAGCTTGGCTGTACACTATCAACATTCCATGTTACCTCAAACAATTTAGCTGTCGAGCACAGGAAACAGACTTTGCCTTTCTTACAGATGTTGCCAGATGTATTTTTATTTCTCTAAAAGCAGGAAATATACCCTATCCCAACTTTATCCAGGCCTGCCTGGATAAACAGAGCAGCCCCAGATTACAGAAATTAACTTAAGAACTGAACAGCAAATCCCTCAGACCTTAGCACAGTTGGACTCAGAGCAGCCTGAACAAACCAAATGAAAAAAAAACTTGCAGAAAATACAAGTGTTTCAGAACTGTAGACTCTGCAACCCAAGTGTCAGGATTGCTAGGCAGTAAAGGATATCCCTATGTCTGGCAGTGTCATAGACACTAATTGATAATAGAGGGTTGAAAATAGTCATACAGAAAACTGTCATACAAATACTTTAGCCAATGCATCAGCCCCAGCACTGGCAATGTAACATTTGGAAGGATGGAATGCCACATCATGGATGGATTCATCAAACTTTTTACGATGTGCAGTGAATTCCTGAATACATGTCTTCGTCTCAAGGCTCCACAAACGAATTGAAGAGTCATGACCTTGGTGTGGGGAGGGGAGAAGAAAGAGTTGAAAAATAATTAATATTCATTAGACACTTTTCAAGAAGTCAGAATTTTCTACTTGGTCAGCCATAGAGAGATTCATCACTATGCCTATAGTCTCCGAACCAATCTAGAAGGAAATCAGTAAATGCGAATTCTAACTAATCAAATATGAACCACCCTCATCCCACTTTCCCAATCCTAAGAACCTAGGTACAGTTTGGCAAGAGCCAGGGCTGAATACCAGTATTCAGGAGTACTGCTGAAGGTTAGCTAGCTAAAACTAGCAGAACACGTTGGTTACCATTCCAATATTTATCCAATTTCATTCTTTAAAGTATTGTTTTAGGTAAGAATGCCAGCCTCACTGTCCAAAATACGTTGCCACACTACAGGACTGTCTTTCAAAGGAACAGGATTCAAAACCCAGAACCCTGCCACATTCATACCTCTGCCTGAATTACATTCTGGGCAGGAAGATCAAGCTTGGGCCTATCTGTCCACTGACCACTTAATGACCAATTAAAGGCCTATTCACTTTGCCAGAGAGGAATAGATAGGTTTCATGTCGACTCAACCTCAAAGATTCCTCTTTAGCTCTCTCCAAAGAAGGCAGTCACTCCTTAATGAACAGTGTCTTACAAGGAACAAATCTGAGCTGTTGCTAGGCTGACAACTTCCTTACCAGAAGATAGAGGCATGTGATCATCTCTCACAGGTCTGTCCAAGACGGGGCCAATGAGCCAGAATTCAACCCAATGAGGAACTCTAACTGGTAGCTGACCAGGGCTCCAAGTACAAGTACAAATGGAAAGTTTTCCAAGGAGCTACTCCTCAGACCAGAGGCCATTCTACTCCCTTCTTTACTGCTGCTAGGAACAGAAATGTCCTCTAATTGGAGGAGCAGTAAGTAGTTTGAATGTCCCTCCCACCATTTAGCCCAAAGCTTGGACAGAGGGAACGATTACAGGAGACTGCAAGAGATATGATGCCTGTTGGGCTGATGGCAGTAATTGTTGGGTATGGGAGTTGGCATCAACTTAGCAAGTAAACTGGCATTCAATCAGGAAGCAGGTTCGGGGTGGAAGTGACTCACCCAAACAGGTCAAAGAAAAAGGCTCCAATTGGAGGAACAGATCAGGGGGCGATGAGACTCACTCTTTCTGACAAATGCACCAACCCCCCCTAAAGAGCTGCAGAGAGAATGGTGGGGAAGGTGAGGGCAAGGGCACGTGAGCAAGGGCTGAGGGGGTAAAGGGAGCAGGTCGGGTGGGAGGGGAGAGAGTGTGAATGAATGTGGAAGAGAGCATGAGTGGGTGTTGGGGAAAGAGAGACAGAGGGAGTTGCAAGGGGCAGAGTGCAGGAGGGAGGGGGTGGAGAGGTACAAATAGAGACAGTGTACTAGTGTACTATTAGTGAGGAAGTGAAACATTGAGGGAGAGGGGTTACGAAAGAGTGAGTGAATCAGATAGAGTGTGGATGTGCAGGGGAGTGAGGGCATGCATATGGATGAATTAAGGAGATTTTGCGTTAGGTGCAGGAGGAAGTGTGTGGAGAGGCATGGAGGCAGATGAGTAAGAAATTAAGTGTTTATGGGGAGAACTAGGGAAAATGAGGAATTGAGGCAAATTAGTACAGTGTGATGTTTGTGTTGGAAAAATTGTGACTGAAGGTTGATAAGTCGCTGCTAGGTGATATCGAACATCCAGAGTGTTAAAAGAGTAGAGGTGGCAATAGTGGACGGCATGGTGATCATCCTCAAAAATTCTACAAATACTGGAATGATTCCTGCAGATTGGGATGTAGTAAATATAACTTCACTATTTAAGGTTGGAGGAAGAGAGAAAACAAGGAATTACAGACCTGGTAGCTTTACATCAACAGGATGGAAAATACTAGAATCTATTATTAAGGATGAGATAAACGGACACTTAGATAATAATGATCGGATTGGGCACAGTCAGCATCGATTTATGACATGGAAATAGTGTTTGATGAACACAGATTTTTTTTTGAAGATATCACAAACAGAATTGATAAAGGGGAGTCAAAGGACATCATAATCATGAACTTGCAGAAGACTTTTAATAAAGTGTCCCATAGGAGCTTAGTTAGCAAAATTAAAAGCACATTGGATAGGAGATAATGTACTAACATGGATTAGGGTTGGTTAACAGGTTAAAAAGAGTAGGAATAAATGGGTAATTCTTGTGTTGTTGGCTATGACTAAAGGAATATGGCAAAGATCAGTACTTGGCCCCAGCTGTTCCCAATATATATCAATGATTTGGACACGGAGGCTAAATGCGCTACTTCCAAGTTTGCAGATGACAACAAAGCTAGGTGGGAATGTGTGCTGAGAGGACGGTGAAAGTGGCTTCACGAGGATTTAGGCAGGCTTAAATGAATAAGTAAGAACATGGCAAATGGAATACAGCATGGAAGAATATGAGGTTAGCATTTTGGTAGTTGGAACTGAAGTGCAGAGTATTTGTTAAATTGTAAGAGGTTAGAAACCATAGATGTACAAAAGAACCTGGGGGTCCTCGTCAATAAATTAATGAAGACTAACGCTGGTACTACAAACTATTAGGAAGGCTAATCAGATGTTTGCCTCTGGTGCAAGACAATCAGAGTGCAGGAGTAGTGAAGTCTTACTTCAGCTCTATAGAACCTCAGTTAGAAAGCACCTGGAGTTTCAGCAGTTTTGGTCCCATTATCTCAGGAAAGATATTATTGTCACGGAGTGCAGTGAAGATCACCAGATATGTGCTCGGGATGACAGGACTGTCTTATGGAGAGAGAGAGAATGAGTAAACTGGACTTTATTCTCAGAGTTTCAAAGAATGAGAGGTGAAATCTACAGGATACTGAAAGGATAGATGCAGAAAGATGTTTCCTTTGGTTGAGGAATCTAGAAATGGGGACATAATTTCAAACTAAAGGGGAAGCCACTTACGACAAAGATGAGATTTTTGTTTTGCTCAGGAGTTGTGAATGTTTGGAAATCTCCACCCCATGGGGTGTGGAAACTTAGTAACTCAATAAGTTTAAAGCAGAGATTTATGGATTTCTAAACGCTAATTACATAAACAGACATGGAGATAGGATGGGAAAAATGGACTCAAGTGGATTATTGTATGGAATGGTGAAGCTGAATGGCCTACCCATGCTACGTTCCTTTGACAGTATCCAAATTAATGTATTTCAAGTAGGTACTTACTGCCAGACATCAAATACAAGCCATTTGGATCTACAGCTAAACTTGTGACAGCATCCAAATGGGCTACCATTGAATGAAGAACTTTTCCTGGAAATAAAAAGATTGGTGTATTAGAATGCTATGATGGGAGTTACAGTGGAGACAATCAGGCTACTTAATCCAGTGAATCTACAGACGTTTTTTATATAGCTGATATAACTGCAGCTGTCTATTGTAAGCCAACTTCCTTATATCTCTTTAGATTCTAATATCCTAATGAAGATTTAAATACATCATTTAGGCTAATAATTCAGTGCAATAAATAGCTAATGACTCTACACTTTTATGAGTATCAATTTTAGGATAGCACGTTAAAGCAAGCTTCCAGCTCCTGATTCAATGGGTGTAAACATTTCTGTGGCAGTATTCAGAGGAGCAGGCTGCTTTCCCTGTATGCTGGGAAAAAAAAATTCTCCCTCAGCCAAAACTATTGCAGCAAGTTCATGTACAGTAGTTGCTGTCTCAGGGATCTTGACAAATATAAAATAGTTCTTATATTTAATTCACCTTATAGAGAGCTGATTTCAAAAGTAATCAATTCAGCCATTTGTTGTAAAATTTTCAGAAGTCATGAAAAGTTTCATTTAATTTATTCATCAGATATATATCTCCCTAGCAAGGTCAGTGTTGGGGACAGATTTCAAAGAGGAGTCTTGAATGCCGTGCTCAGCAGCACAAATTGATCTTTATTTGGAGCTCCTTACCAATGCAGCATGAGAGAGGTCTCTGAAGACAGACTCCAAGACACTAACTCTCCCAATAAAGTACAGGATATTTATACTTGTCGCATTACAATGATTACATACAACACTCATGTCGGTGCTTGCCAAATCCCTTCTGACCATTATGCTCCTCCCCAGACATTTGCCAGCTGCATCGTACATAGTGGGTGCTGTTTGTAACCTTGTGAAGTTGCAATTATTTAGTCAAAATGACCTCAGGAAAATAAGTAATGTTTTGCAATTGCACCCTTACAATGCTATGTTTCATGGTGTTCTTTCATGAGGCTGTTTATACCATTTGTTGCATGTCATCCGATCCTTGGTGTTTACACCCATTTGTCCTTCAGTTCCCCGTACTGGCGGGATGGGGGTTTCTCTTTACTATCTAGAGCCATTAAGGACTTCAACTAAATTCCTTAACATTAGTTTGTTAGTTGCACTTTTAATTTCAGTATATTTACATGTATAATATGTAATGGCAATTACTTACAATGTCTTTGACTATGGTGGGATCAGTCTTTTTCCCTACACTTTACTAAATAACAAACTTTGGACTAGTTAGTACTAGGCACATATCTAGATTTTTCCATGGGTACTCCTTATCAAGATGGTCTCTGTGCTTAGAGTCAATTGCCTACAGGAATTTATTTAAACTTCCTGATGTTTAATACCAAAGCCAAAATGATTATGGTATGAACATTTGCATATACACAGAAACAGACTGATGATTGCCTAAAGGGTCTCAATTGTTAGTCCAGTTTCTCTCCTTCTTTCCATACTAAATATCAAGTTTTAAATTAGCTAGCTGGAAGGCTTCCATCCAAGCTTCCCTTATCAAAAATGTCTGATGTCTACATTTCTTTGCTCTTTCCATGAGGCACATCCTTGTCTTATCTGGTTGCCATCTGCACGAAAACCACGATTCTGATTGGGGAAACTGCTGTGTTCAACTAACAATTCTCTTCAGCCATCTTATGTTAACTAACACCACAGTCAACCATTTTATGTTACCTTCAGCCATGAGCAGCCCCCACAGTCACCATTCTTTGCTCTTCCCTAATTCAAGATGGTAATTCTGAGCCAACTTCTTGAAGCACTGCAGTCTTTGTTATGTAGATACAGTCTCATGTTAGTTGGTTCTAGAATTTCCATCCAGGATACAATAAGTAGGAAAGCCAAGAGTGTGATGGTATTCCCATGCACCACATGGATGAACATAAAACTCTTTCTGTCTATATGTAGCCAAATTCCTTTTAATCAATACTTATTTCTTTTTAATTCTTTTTAATTTAAAAAGTACTTTGTGTTCTGTCTGCCACCAGCAACGCTTATCAGGAAACTGCAACAGGTCACCAGAAAATGCTGTTCATTTTTGCAAACCAGAGGTTAATTCAGAAATGACTGATTTTGATCCCTAGTGTTCCGTCTGGACTATACAATCAACTTTTATTTTCTTCACAACTCTTCTATAGTCAATAGGAGTTCTCTCACATATGAAATGATAATATAAAAACCGAAAGAACTGCAGATGCTGTAAATCAGAAACAAAAACAGAAATTGCTGGAAAAGCTTAGCAGGTCTGGCAGCATCTGTGTTGCGAAAGTAGAGTTAGCATTTCAGGTCCAGTAAGGAAAGGTCACTGGTTCCAAAATGTTAACTCTGCTTTCTCTCCACAGGTGCTGCCAGACCTGCTGAACTTTACCAGCAATTTCTGTTTTTGTTTATGAATGATAATATGTTTTAATATCAGTGACAAATGTGAATAACTTTTTAAAACCTCTGTCCCTGGATGAGACGGCATTCACAAATTTGTGAAACTACAGGTTTAGTATCCCTAGAAAATCCAGAATGCTGTGCATCTACAAGGTGAATGATGAGGCAGTCAAAAGTCACAGATGCGCTTGGCTGACAGGACATTAGATAACTAATGTTATCAAGTGTCAACTCATTTGTTGATCTAACCAATAAACTGATAACTAACTGCACATATAGTCATCACAACATGCATGTTTTTATATATTTGCTGTTCAACTGCAGCTGTCTGCTTTAAGCCAATTTCCTTACATCTCTAATGGTTCTGAAACACTATCCTCAATGCCAGTTATTCCTGAATATTTTCATAGGTATTGCTCTTGACCACGTATCAGATAGGACAAAGTCTGTTGCCTTTGAAAAATACTCTCCGCTGGCAACCATCACATCAGCATTGGGCTACGTAGCAGGTGCTGCTCAGCATTGAGGCAGAGACAACTGCCAACCGCAGTACTTTTGGCCTTGGATCCCCTTCCTACGTTTACTGTTTTGATTAAGGCTGTCATGAAAGAAACCCCATCTATTTGTCAGTCTACATGAGAAGGACAAATCAAAGAACAAATAAGAATACAGCAAGGGAACGGGCCCTCCAGCCCACCAGCAGTGTACCAACATGACACCTTTCTAAACTAAAAACCTTTGCCTTCACACAGTCAATATCCCTTTATTCCCTGACTATTCATGCATCGGTCAAGATGCCTCTTAAACGTTGCTACCATATATGCTTCTCCCAACTTCTTTGGCAGTGCATTTCAGGCACTTCCCACCCTCTGTAAAAAAAAAACTTACCTCTCACATTTCCTTTAAACTTTCCTCTTTTTAATTTAAACCTATGTCCGCCAGTAAGTGACGTTTCTATTCTGGGATAAAGACTCCAAGACTATAGAACTCTCCATTCTATCCATGCCTCTCTTAATTTTGTAAACTTCCATCAGGTTGGCACTCCAGCCTCTGACATTCAAGGGAAAACAAATCAAGTCTGTTCAAGCTCTCCTTACACATAATACCTTCCACACCCGGTAGCATCCTGGTAAACCTTTTCTGTATCTTCTCCAAAGCCTCCATATCCTTCTGGGCAGTGTGGTGACCTGAACTGTACATAATATTCCAAACATGGCCTAACTAAAGTTTTATACAGCTGTAACGTGACTTGCCAATTTTAGACACTATGGCCTGACTGATGACTGCAAGCATGCCATATGTTTTCTTGATCACTTAATTCGATCGCTTTGCCACTTTCAGGAAACTGTAGACCTGATGCCTCGATCCCACTGTACGTTAATACTTCTAAAGATTCTGCCATTCAAGGTATACTTTCCTCCTGCGTCAGACATTCCAAAATGTAATACCTTGCATTTGTCCAGATTAAATTCCATCTGCCATTTCTCTACCCAAGTCTCCAGTCTATGTATATCTTGCTGTATCCTCTGGCAATCCTCCTTACAATCCACAGCTCCCCCAGTCTTTGTGTCATCTGTAAACTTACTAATCAGACCACCTATATTCTGCTCCAAATCATTTATATATATATTACAAACAACAGGGGTTCCAATACTGATCCTTGCAGAACACCACTGGCTACAATCTCCAGTCAGAAAAACACCCTTCCACCACTACTCTCTGCCTTCTATGACCAAGCTAGGTCGTATCCATCTTACCAGCTCACCACAGATGCCATGTGACTTCAGCCGCCATAAAGGACATTGTCAAAGGGCTTGCTAAAGTCCACACTAACAACATCGACCATCCTGCCCTCAATCATTTCTGTCACTTTCTTAAAAATTGCAATCAAGTTTGTCAGACACAGAGCCATGCTGCCTATTGCTAATATATCCATATTTTTCTAAATGAGATTAAATTCTATCCCTAAAAATTTTATCCAATAATTTCCCTACCACTGATGAAAAGTTCACTGGTCTGTAATTTCCCGGATTTTCCCTGTCCCCCTTCAAAAACGAAAGGAACAATGTTGGCTATTCTGCAGTACTCTGGGACCTCTCTTATGACTGAAGAGGACACAAAAATTTTGTGCAAGTTCCCGGCAATTTCGTCCCTCGGTATTCTGAGAAAGATCCCATGTGGCCCTGGGAACTTGTCTACTTTAATGGTTTTCAAAACACTTTTTTAAAAAATATCAACATGCTCTAGAATATCAACAGACTCTTTAGACTCACCATCTGCTGTGCCCTTCTCCTTTGTGAATACTGATGCAAAGAATATGTTACATGGCTGCCCAAAATCTACATTCCCCAATTCCTGATTAATATTGTGGTAGTTAGCCTTCCCTAGTTTAGTATCTTTACCTGAGAACTACTCTTTCACTTATCCAAAAGTAACTTAAAACTTATGGAATTATGGTCATTATTCTCAAAATGCTCCCCCACTGAAAACTTCGATCACCTGGCCAGGTTCATTCCCCAATACCAGGTCCAGTGGCCCCTTCCCTAGTTGGATTATTTACATATTGCTTCAAAACAAAAAAACTCTCCAGGACGTATCTAACAAATTCTGTTCCCATCCCAGCCCCTTGCACTAAGGGAGTCCCAGTCAATACAAGGGAAGTTAAAATTACCTACCGTAATTACATTTTAAAAAAATCTTTTTCCATAACCTGTCCACTTATCGGTTCCTCTATCTCCTGTTGGCTATTGGGAGGCCTGTAGTACAACCCTAAAGTGATTCCTGAGCTCTACCCAAATGGCTTCAGTGGATGAGCCCTCCAAGATGTCTTCCTCAGTACAGCTGTGATATTCTCCCTGATCAGTAACACAACTTCCCACCTCTTTTACATCCCTCTCTGTCTTGCCTGAAACATTTAAATTCCAGAATGTAAAGATGCCAGTCTTGTCCCTCTCTCAGCCAAATGTCTTTGAAAGCCAGGAATATACTGGAAATATTCTTTGTAAAGAACATTTCTGAAGCTTTTCCACTTGATACACTTAACCTTGTGGAAAAGCTCCTCCCTAAATGACACTCCTGAGATGAGTAATATACCCATATAAAGATAGAGCGCTGAAGTGGATGTGCACAATGTAAATTTTGAAGAAAAGGAACAAAGGAGAGGGGAATGGACAGATGAGGGAGGTGACTGAAGTCTCTACTGTTAATGGCATGCTTAACACAGGAGACAAAATTTGGACAATTCAAAAGATGCAAGTCTCAACAATCAACATCACAATACACTGAAGAAATAAATATTTTCCTACCTGTGTTATTGTCAAAAAATTTTATGTGTCGGTCCTCATGGGCTGTGATAGTAACCGGAAGTGTAGGATGACTAATGACCTTATTAATCTGACATGTAGAAGAAGCTGTATAGGCAAACAGAGGGGAAGAATATTATGCACTTGTGACATTGAAATAAGAACCTAGATAATCATTAGTTCATTTTAAATTTTGAAGTCGTAAAATGAAATAAAAATAAAAAGTCGTAAATAAAATTTATATTATTTCATACAGAGATATTTCTCTTAGATGGATTGTTACTCCTCATTGGGGTGGCACTCTGGAAATCAAGGCCTCCTTTCCCAGAGTTGTCACAAAAGTTAAAGATTTTTAAGAAGAACACAGAATTCCCCAATTTGCCTGTCTTTTAGGTCCTGATTGACAAAGCACAGGCCAGGTTTCTATATTTAACAAAAATGACTATTTATTACAAATAAATAGACTCCAGCTATAGGTAAACAATCTGACCTGTTGGCATATAACTCTACCCATTAAAACTTTAAATTATTTTTAAACTCCCTGCTCTACACACATATACAGACAGACACAGACTGGAAAAAAAGGGTAACTGGTTCCTTTTTACAAAGGCTTTTGCCATCAATTAAAAGTGTCAGACTAAAGCAACTGGAAAGGGGAAATAAACTGGCCATCTTCAGGCTTGAGAATGCTTTTGACTGCAGAGCAAAAACAGCTCCTTTTCATCCAAGGGTCCTATGGCTTCTGCAAAACCATTCACATTCCAAAGCCGTTCAGCTACCTGGAAGTCAATCACATAACTGTTGTCAGGCAAAATGCCTTTATCACCAATAACTGATCATTAGTCCACAACTATTTGTTGCTAGCCAAAACTTCATGTGTACGAACTCTTTTCGCTCCAGCTCATCTACAAACCAGACTTCTACTACTGCTTGAACAAGAAGCTGTGCAAAAATCACTTACAATCCATGTCATGTTACTTGCTTTTAAAAAAAAATGCTGCAATCTTTCAACAATCCTTGGTTTTTAAACCAGTTCTTTTCCTGTTTCAGTCCACAATCAAAAATAAGATGATAGGATCTTTCCACGAACGTGATTGTAACGTAACCAAAGAGGACTTAAGAATTAGTCCTACCACTGATAGAGCTCACTATAAAATTAAGTGGCTTCCCAAAGGCATAAATTGCAGGACAAAAGGACTTATTTCGAAGGATTGTTTGGATGTGACCAAAGGATTCATGACTTGTGACACAAGCAACTTTTCCAGCTGTTCATGATATGTGAGCTAAACACTAAGCATCAATAGCCTTTCAAAATGTGGAGTACCATGTCTAGTCCAATCTCACCATCTCCAAACTGTTCCCTGGAGGCAGCTAAAATTCTGTTTGACCTAATCCATAGATCGTAATTATAGACATTTGTGTTTCAAATTATTTTTCTAAATCTGGAACTAGAGCTCGAGTATGGACATTTTCCCATTTCAGGATCTGATGTCAACACTAAACACTCAGCTCAAATACAACACAGAAAAACTAACTCACCATTCCCTAACTTGTGCCAGAATGATCAAGAATGTCTCCTAGTCACAAATGTGCAAGCAATTTTGATTAGATTGTATATTTCAAGGAGATAGGATGGAACTATATAAAAAGATAAATGACTGGGATAGGGTAGATAGAAGCTTGAGTGTTTCTAGCTAATTTTAATTTCTACAAGTAGAGTCATAGAGGTGTACAGCATGGAAACAGATCCTTCGATCCAATTTATCCAAGCCCACCAGATATCCCAAATTAATCTAGTCCCATTTGCCAGCATTTGGCCCATATCCTCTAAGCCCTTCCTAATCATGTACTCATCCAGATGCCTTATAACATGATGTAATTGTACCAGCCTCCACCGCTTCCTCTGGCAGTTTGTGCCATACACACAGCATTCTTTGCATGAAAAAGTTGCCCCTCAGGTACCTTTTGTATCTTCTCATCTCACCTTAAACTTATGCCCTCTAGTTTTTAACTCCCCTCCCCTGGGAAAAGGACATAGACTATTTACCCTATCCATGCCCCTCATGATTTTATAAACCTCTATAAGGTCACCCCTCAGCTTCTGATGTTCCAGGGAAAACAGCCCCAGCCTTCTCAGCCTCTGCCTATCGCTCAAACCCTACAACCCCAGCAACATCCTGGAAAATGTTTTCTATACATTTTCAAATTTAACAACAAATTGCCTAATTTGTAAAGAAGGCATATGGTGTGTTGGCTTTCATTGGCAGGGGAATTGAGTTTAAGAGCCATGAGGTTATGCTGCAGCTCTATAAGACTCTGGTTAGACCACTCTTGGAATATTGTGTTCAGTTCTGGTCACCTCATTATAGGAAAAATGTGGAAGCTTTAGAGAGGGTGCAGAGGAGATTTACCAGGATGCTGCCTGGACTGGAGGGCAGGTCTTATGAGGAAAGGTTGAGGGAGCTAGGGCTTTTTTCATTGGAGCGAAGAAGGATGAGAGGTGACTTGATAGAGGTGTACAAGATGATGACAGGCATAGATAGAGTGGATAGAGACTTTTTCCTAGGGTGGAAATGACTATTACGAAGGGACATAATTTTAAGGTGATTGGTGGAAGGTATAGGGGAGATGTCAGAGGGAGGCTCTTCACAGAGAGTGGTGGGCGTGTGGAATGCACTCCCGGCAGTGGTAGAGACTTTTAAGCGACTCTTGGATAGGCACATAGAGGATAGTAAAATGTAGGGTATGCAGGGTAGATTGAGCTTAGTAGGATAATAGGTCGGCACAAAATCGTGGGCCGAAGGACCTGTACTGTGCTGTATTGTTCTATGTTCTAACGTCTTGCCTACAGCAGGGAAACCAGAATTGAATGCAGTATTCCAAAAGTGGTCTAACCAAAGTCCTGTACAGCGGCAACATGACATCCCAACTCCTACACTCAATACACTGACCAATAAAGGCAAGCGTACCAAATGCCTTCTTCACCACCCTGTCTACCCATGGCTCCACTTTCAAGGAACTAATAACCTTCACCCCAAGGTCTTTTTGTTCGACTACACTCCCCAGGGCCCTACCACTAAGTGTATAAGTCCTGCCATGGTTTGCCTCACCAAAATGCAACACCTCACATTTATTTAAACTCCAACTGCCACTTCTCAGCTCATCTGATCAAGGTCCCGTTGTACTCTGAGATAATCTTCTTCATGGTCCACAACACCATCAATTTTGGTGAATTGCCTGAGTCAGTCAGTCAGCCTTTACAGCGGACAATGTTACCCTCACAGAGTGCAGCGGTTCAAGATGGCAGTTCACCAGCACCTCCTGAAGGGGCAACTAGGGACAAGGCATTGACACCCATGTCCGCCGAAAGTACCTGCCCTTGCCTAAGGTCACCAGCTTCCAGCAAAGGGTCATCTTGACAGAGATAGGGAGTTCAAACCCTGGACAAGCTCTGCAGCCTCATTTCCCTCTCTTGGAACCTGTGTAGATGGGCTAGCTTCCATCTCCCCTACTATACTCCTCAATGTTAACCCTAACAGGTTATACCACACAATCTCGTCCTCACTGACAGCACATTCAGGCAAGGAAGGCAATCTGGTAAAAAATAACTTCTACTGTCCATTTTCAATTGGACAGCATAATATCAGAGACCAGCTTTCTCCAGAATATTCATTTTTCTCATTACCCAGAGCTGGACAAATCCACATGTGCAAGAGGAAGGCAGCTTCTGCATGTTTACACAAGCTGGTAACTCCCTCATGAATGGTCCAGTCAACTAGATGTAAACAGTGACAGACAAATGAAGACCCCCTTAATTTCACAGACTGGGAGAGGCCCTGTGTCTCAGAGTTATTCACACACCACACAGTGCACAAACAATGCTGAAGGAGCAGGCACTTTTGGAAGGTCAGTGCCGAGGAGCAGGCACCATTGGACTTAAAGGTCTAGGAGGAGAGTCATAGAGACAGATTGTGACAGATTATTAAGATTTACAAAAGAGAACAAGGGGAACTTTAATCAATGAGGAAGAAATGTTCTCATGAAGGGTCACGGGACTCAAAACATTAACTCGGCTTTCTCCCCACAGATGCTGCCAGACCTGCTGAGTTTCTCTGACAATTTCTGTTTTCGTTTACTCAGAAAGAATTATGGCTATAATATACACTTACAGTGTAACATTACATTGGAAGGGTGGATGAAAGAAAGTGTAAAAAAAATTCTTAAGGCTACTTGCCCATGTGAAGGGTAAACATCACCATGGCCTCTTTGGCCTGAATGACCCCAATCCTATGATACAACACAGTTTATTTTTAATACAGTGTGGGCTATGCCCACTGGTAGCTCGAATGAGACCTGGTAGCTAGATTTCACAGTGGAATACTTGCAGTCAGAAAACAAATTCGGGTGTGGGATAGATTGATACGGTAGTATTGGAGATAAAAAGTGTTGAACTATTGTGCCACTGTGGCCCTGAAATCAACATTTCAGTAACTTAAAGCATCAATCCATTCAAGCACAGATGTTGCGAAGTTGGGTAGAGTACTTGTGAATTAGAAGGTAGGACGTTAGAATTTGTTTGTAAAAATGATAGGGGGGAAAGTGTGTGGTCTCTAAGAGGTGATGTGCTTTTCTAAGCTGGGAGATGAATAAAAATGTCTGTAAGCAGCTAAAAATGCACACAGTTCTGAAAATTGAAACATATGTATCAATTGGCTGTGTGGTTGGTAACCTAGGCTTGTTTTGATGTTAAGGCAACCAGCTTGAATATCAGCCAATCTAGTCAAACCAGGCCCTAGAAACCAAAACCCAATTAAATTTAAATCTGATGGTGTTGACAACCTAGGACCAATCCTATTATAAGAAAATTGACAGGTCATTAAGGGTATATAAGCGTTAGAGCGAACCACCATTGTAAAACTCTGGCTCTCACAAAAATCTTTTAAGCTCTCTGGTTAAGCGCCAGCCAGATGATACCACGGCATTCTTGGCTAATATTCCTGACACAAGAATTCGACGAAGAAGGAATTCCTGACTGAAGAATAGCGAAAAAGGCAGGGAACATTTCGGAAGACACATCCTGACTGTAGTTTTGACAGTCTAAGTTTTACTTTATTTTTCTTATTACTTTGGTTTATATAAATGGGACTTGAATTTATTGGAACAGCATACCATTAGAATTTTGTTCTGTTTGAGAATAGTTAGTAGTTAAGGGGGAATTGTTTGGTTTGTTAGTAGGTCTGTTAATTTATTCACTGATGGAGTTAGTTAAATAAATTGTTACTTATTGCTTTTAAAGTGAGTATCAGGGAATTATTTCATTTAACCTCTCCTTTGTAACAGATTGGGAAGTGAAAGGCAGATTATACCATTTTTCCCATTTCCTTTAACAGATTACGAGGCTAGGTGAGCTTCTCTGGCTGTTTCAGTTTCAATTATCAGAAAGGGTTTGACCTCCTCGCCGTAAGACAGGCAGAACATGAACTTATTGCTGTTAAACACAGATATGGTAAGCAAATGAAATTAGCTGCCCTCCCCCTCCAAATTACATTTGTATTCAAAAAATTTCCATTTATTAGTCAACAGTAGAAGTTTAGGTTTCACCGGGAAAGAAAGCAGCATCTCAGGTGTAATCTAAGTGATCATTCAAATTACGCAAAAGCTTACAAGTCACATAATATTGTCCCCAGAATTAGCCATAAGCACTGACTGTTTTATAATCACCTTAATATGGCCTGTAATGCTGCTTTGGAGGAGCAGAGCATTTAGCCTTTCAGGCCTGTCCTGGCATGTGATAAGATGATAACTAATCTGATTGTGACCTCTATTTTCCTGTTTGCCCCTACTTTCTTTGACTGCCTTGTGAGCCAAGAATGCATCTAACTTAGCCTTAAATATATTCAATGAAACCACCTCCAGTGCTCTCTGGAAAGTGAATCTAACAGACTAATGATCCTCCGCGAGAACAAAATATCTTCTCATCTCAGTCTTAAATGGAAGTCCCTTTACTGTTAAACTTGGCCACCAAATTCTAGTCTCACCTTGAAGGGAAACATCCTTTCAGCACACAATTCGTCAAGACCGTGTCTCATTATTTTAAACACCAACAACCTGCTCAATGTTCCTCATAAAGTAATGCCCTTCATTCCAGGAAGCAGTTGAGTTTGCCTTCTCTGCATTACCTCCAATGCAATTATAACCTTCTTAAATTAAGAAACCGAAACTTTACATAGTACTGAAGATACAGTCTCAGCAATACAGCGTATAATTATTGCAAAAATTCCTGTTGTCGGAAGGAAAAGAGGGGTGAGGGTTGATGTGTGGAAAATCGGTTGGACATAGCTGAGGGCCCTGTCAACCACAGTGGTGGGGAACCCACGTTGAGGAAGGAGGTGGACATTTGAGAGGTCTCCTTGTTGGAGTTGGCACCATTGGAACTGACGTGACAGAGATGGAGGAACTGGAAGAATGGAACAGTCTTTACAGGAAGCAGGATGTGACGATGTACAGTCAAGGTAAATGTGGGAGTTGGAGTGTTTGTAGTGGATATTGGTAGCCAGCATATCCCCAGAAATGGAACGAGACGTCAAGGAGAGGAAGGGAGGAGTCAGACATGGACCAGGTAAAGGTGAGAGTGGGATGAAAATTGGAAGTGAAATTGATGAATTTTTTCCAATTCTGGATGAAAGAGGGAAGCAGTACTGACAAGGTCATTGATGTACTGAAGAAACAATTGTGCATGGGGGCCAGAGTAGGACTGAAACAAGGAATGTTCCACATACCACACAAACAGACTGGCATAACTGGGGCCTATGTGGATACCCATGGCCATTCCTTTGACCTGAAGAAAGTGGGAGGAGTTAAAGGAGAACTTGTTCAAAGTGAGGCCAGGTGGAGGAGAGGGACAGTTCAGGCCCTTTTTTCTCCCAGGAAGAAAGTAAAGAGCCCTGAGACCATTCTAATAGGGATGGACGTGTGAAGGGATTGCATGTCCATGATAAAGAGGTGGCGCCTGAAGCCCACAAACTGGAAATTCTGAAACTGATGTAAGGCATCAGAAGAATCAAGGCTGTAGGCGGGAACAGACTGAATGAGGGATTGGACACCTTCTCCCATGTCATTACTCCAACTCTCTGCTCTAGCATATATACCAATCTTTTCCTAGCTACAATCAGTTCTGAAGAAGGGTCATTGGACTGGAAATGTTAACGCTTTCTCTGCCGCAGATGTTGCCTGCCCTGCTGAGATTTTCCCAGCAATTTCTGATTTTGTTTCTGATCTCCAGCATCCAGAGTTCTTTGATTCTTTCCCCCCCTAGTTTTATACTCTATTTCCCCAATAAACACAATATCCTATTTGCCTTCCTATTCATTTGCTGCACCAACATTTTATGATTTGTCCTAGAAATAACCAGATCTCATTTTACAGCAGAGTTTGGCAACACCATTGTTTAAGTAAAATGCTGCTTTCCTATTCTTCCTGTCAGAGTAGACAAGTTCATATTTTCCCATATCATACTCAATCTGCCAAATATTTTCCCATTCACCATCTATATTGCTTATTCCAAAAAACGTACCATCAGTATTGGATTCAAAGGTGAGGAATCGCTGACATGTCTCCATGTCAAAAATGCTCGTCTGCCCATTCACAAAAGAGGACACCAAATGAGAAGGATCGCTGCAGACTACGTCAACAGAGGTAGGGATTCCAGACTCTGCAGGAGGAAAATAAAATCATCTATGTTGTACAATAATTAGCATCTTTCACCTATAAACAGAAGTCTGCATTTGTATTTGTTAAAATATGCAGTGATAAGAAATTCTAATGAGACACAAATGTAGATAGTTTTCTCAAGGGCTACATTTTGATTTTGGGAGCTCTACTTTTGATTTTCTGGGGTTTCTTTTTCATTCCAACTCACAACACACAAGGAAAATATTAATTTCCTAGACAGTGCAGTATTTAAATTGGCACATGACAACAGGCATAAGTTATCAACCAAAGTTTTCAAAATACAATTCTGCACACCAAAAAGCCCCTCTAAACACAGTGTGGAGCTGGAGGAACACAGCAGGCCAGGCAACATCAGGGGAGTAGGAAAGCTGATGTTTTGGGTCAGGACCCTTCTTAAGAAGTTGGTGGGGGGGGGAAGGGAGCTGGGAAATAAATAGAGAGGAGGGGAGGGGCTGAGGAAGGAGGGTGAGATGGTGATAGGTGTGTGCAGGTAGGCAGTGGTGGGAATTGGTTAGTGAGTGGGAGGAGTGGAAAGGTGGGAGAGAAGATGGACAGGTTGTGTCAGGTCAAGGAGGCGGGGGTGAGAGGGATGTTTGAGGATGGGGTTGGGGAGATTTTGAAACTAGTAGAGTCCACATTGAGACCACTGGGTTGTAGGCTCCCAAGGCGGAATATGAGGTGCTGCTCCTCCAGTTTCCGGGTGGCGTCACTGTGACACTGCAGGAGGCCCAGGATGGACATGTCGCCCAGGGAGTGGGAAGGGGAGTTGAAATGGTTCGCAACCAGAAGGCGTTGTTGTTTGTCATGGACAGAGCGCAGATGCTCTAAGAAGCGGTCTCCAAGCCTCCGCTTGGTCTCACCGATGTAGAGGAGGCCACATCGGGAACAGCGGATGCAATAGACTACATTGATGGATGTGCAGATGAACCTCTGTCTGACGTGAAAGGTTTGTTTGGTGCCTTGAATGGAGGTCGGGGGGAGGTGTAGGGGCAGGCGTAGCACTTCCTGCGGTTGCAGGGAAAGGTGCTGGAGGTGGTGGGGTTAGTGGGGAATGTGGAGTGGATGAGGGAGTCATGGAGAGAGTGGTCCCTACAAAAGGCAGATAAGGGGTGGGGAGGGAAATATACCTTTGGTTGTGGGGTCGGATTGCAGGTGGTAGAGAATGAAATGTTGGATATGGAGGTTAGTGGGGTGATATGTGACGACAAGGGGGATTCTGTCTTTGTTTTTGTTATGAGGTGCCAACTAATGTATTTCTATCACGTGTAGAAAGCTGGAAATATTAATTTGATAGTTACTATGGATTTTTAACTGCATCTCAGAGCTAAATCTCAAATTTAAATTTAACAGTTGACAGTGTTATCATTACATCAGCACCCACCAGTATTTTTCCCTAAAACTAGCTTCTGAACCTGTGAAGCTTTAAGTTAAGAGATTTCACAATCATTTGCATGGAATTAATTATTTCAGTAGTCTATACCTGGGTGTTATGGTGTGTGGGCGTGTACGTGTTTGGGGTGGGGGGGGTGGCTGAGTGACTGAAGGGGCTATGTGTATGAGTGTGTGTGGGAAGGGGTAAATTTGCCTGCTGATCTGATGCATTTTGAGCATTGTTTCAAAATAAGTTTGATGGATGAAAATTCATGGGCAAGAGAGGCTTAATTTCCAATGCATGCCCTTGAGACTTGGGGTGAAGACAGAGAGACTCCCCACTGGAGTTTAGATTCAACCAAATTTACAGTACATGCAACACAAGACCATCTATGTTAATCAGATTGAATCTGAAACTGTAAAGTACTTTTGTTAAACAAAATAGCTGAAAATTGAAACTGCACCAATGCTCATGATAAAAATATTACTTGATCACAATATTCAAAGAATGAATAGAAATACAAATGATTTTGTTAACTATTGATATTTAATTATATGAATGAAAGAATGCCTGCATGCATTTCTTGACAGCATTTTCCATTACATGACTCCTATGCCTACATCATTGATCAAAACTGCTTACTTAAACTTGTCACATTATAATTACACCCTTCACCAGCGTGGGAGCTGGCAATAAATCTTTAGTTTTCATTGGAAATGTAGGCACAGGAATTTACAATGGAAAAATAAAGACGATGCATGACTTCATAACACAGGCCAAATTAGATCCAAGCATCTCAGTTTAACCATCTCCTCTCCAATCTCGCTTCCCTCAAAGACACTTGCTCTCAACTCAACACCATAAGAAACTAATGAGCTGAGTACAAGATGAATCCGAGAGGCAAATTCAGCGCATACCTCGGTTTTCATTAATTATGCAAAGCGAGGGTGCTATTTCAGTGGCGTTCCACAGCCGTAGAGTACCATCAGCTGAACATGACAGTAAACGTTGATGTGTTGCACTGTACACCAAACCCCAAACTGCATCACTGTGACCTTCCAAAGCACCTCGTAGCACAGATGGATCTGCAAACAAACAACTTTTTAGTACAGACTAGAACAAACTCATACCATCAGGTTTTGCCTCACTGATTTTTCCCTTGTATGACCCTCTGAACCTGTATCTTATTCCACAGCATATTCTGCCTGACTTTGTTTAAGAGATTTCCAGACATCATTATAATAAGTATACATAAACCAAATCTGGATACAGCAGGCTAGGTTATTATATGAAAGACAATTAAAAGACAAAAGAAGGGCACTGTGTTTTTGTGATGATTAGAAGTTTTGTAACAAATCTGCAAAGCTTGAGCCATAAGTTGCAAAAGTGAGAAGCGACAGCAAAGAATTATAAAACCAAATAAACCAGTCAAAGAAAGAAATCTATGCATGTACATTCTACCTTTTCACACTACTCAGGTGTGGATTTCCCAAAGAACTCTGCTTAATAAATTATTTAAGCGTAGATGTTTAGGCAAACATGACAGACAACTGTGCATAACATATGGGAGAATGTCAATGGATGTAGTTTATTTCTGAACACACTGAGTAAGGTTGCACATTAGAGACAGTTAACTAAAATTAAACCTAATGGAATGGAAGGCAAGTTTAGGGAGCTCTTGTGGCACAGTGGTAATGTCCGTAACTCCAGACCAGAAGGGCAGGGTTCAAGTCATACCTGGTCCAGATGTGTGTCATAACACGTCTAAACAGGTGGATTAGAAATATCTGAAAAGGTAGATTATTCACCTGATTGGGAGAATTGATAGATGGTAGAAGAAAGCTTAGGTGTTACAGATAATTACTGCTGAAAAGGCAGATACGTTGAGACAGCTTTTCATATTCCTTTTTACCATTTACCAGCCCAAAACCCCATTTTTTAAAAAAAGAAAAATGTTATATACTCTGTCCCACTCTGGGTATCATGACTCAAATATCTCCTGTGCAATATTGCCATATCTCAGAAAATCCAGGTCACTTTTTTTTATGGGGAGATGGAAGAATGGAAAATTCTCCATGAAAATCCTTTGCAGCTAATTCAATTTTAAATCAGAGATCACTCATCTTTAGCACTGGTCTCGATTGGCAAAACAGACTCGAGGAATTGAACGGTTTACTACTGCTCCTGCGATATATTTGATTGAATTATGACAGTACTAAACTACAAGTAATTCTGCAAGCAAACTTCAGGATTTCATTCAAAACTCATTGTTTGCTTCAAAATTAACTTTTCAAATTAATTATTACAACAGCTGATAAACAATGTAAACGTACGCACCATATGAATCGTAAGGATCAATGTTAGGATTGGGAGCATTCCAGCACTGGATTAACCCATCAGTACCTCCACTGAAACATTGCTCGCCATTAGTGCTCATCACAACACATAGTACTGGGCCTCTATCCAAAACAAAGGAAACAAAAACCACAAATGTAAATCTCTCTCGATTCCTATATATTTTGAGCACAGCACACTTTGCATTACATGGAAAAGGTAACTTAGGCTTACCTGTGAGCTCTGAACGTATATATGGGTTCTACATCCAATGAAGTACTCCTGTGGAATTAGAACAAGACAGATAACTGTTGTGTTCTCAGTTGTGTTTTGTAAGGGTAAACTAAAGGAGAAGCCCTGATGCACTTTTCTGAGATAAAATATACGAACCTTAGCCTCAAGTCAGTAATACAACAGAACTCATTGTATTCTCTTTGTTTTCAGGCTTCAAATATTCTCTCCCATACAACCTTCCTCCTTCTCAACATTTAAATCATGGTCTCATCTGATTTCCAAGAGCCTCAATCATTCACCTCTTCACAATTTTTAGGCTTTTAAAAATATTGCCCCAAGTAGAACTTACTTCTAGCTTTGTGGTATAAATTCTGCAAAATTGCAAAAGACAAAACTGCTCCTCAATCTTCCTTCTCTACATACTTCAACTTGTTTGCAGGAGTCACAAAATGACTGGTTCACAATTTTTAGAGTCTCTGACAATGATTAAAAGCAACAGCTTACGGCAACAGGCAAGGGAAATACATTAGCTTTTTTCAGCCTTTAGATTTGTTTTTATTGTACAGAGAACACCATCTTTCCTTTCAGAGATCTAAAAGCTTCTGACTATATTGTTCACACCCACAAGCCGGTCAGCTACTGGGAGTCAATCACATAGTTGTTGGCAGGCAGAAGCTATTTGTCATCAACAACTGGGTCACCACTCCACAGACCAATAAGCTACTTATTGCTGGCTGAACGTCACCTTACACACACCCACTGATACCAGTTCGTCGGCAACTAAACTTACCCTACTGGTTGAATAAACAAGTGTTAACAGCATTTAAGAGAATGTGCTGGTAACTTACTTTTACAAGTGCAATCTCTCCCACAATCCTTTGTTTTTTAAAATAGTCCATTTTCCATGATCAAAAATTACATAAAAAACAGGTCTTTACAAAGACGTACATTTTTTCAAGTAGCATCACAACACATTGAGAACACAACCTAAAAAAGACCACTTCCATCCCACTTGACCTGACCATTATCCACAGAATCTCCAGCACTCGCCCACGAACTTGCTGAACTCCGTCCTCCAGATCATTCAACAAATCCAGAGCTCTGTTCTCCTAAAAAAAATGCCAAAATCCATTACAAATCAACTCATTTCAAACTCTGCCTTACTCATCAGTTTCTGCTTTACCTCATCCTTTTTATTCTTTTTCATGTCGATTACTTTCTGCAACATTCCTCTGGGTCTTTCTTTATATGTGTCAAATTATAAGAAAGTTCCACTGACGTACATAGAAATTACTGCCTCACACTGTGGAGAGACCTAATAGTGATAGTTGAGTTCCCATGTAGGTGCAATATCATTTTCTGCCTGATGAATGATTCTCAAACCAGGACCGAAGATCCAATTCTGAACAGTTTCTAAAAAGCAGTGCCTTTTCCAGTTAAGCCAACCAGCTATTTCAAAACTCTACATATATATGGGGACATTTACTTGATATCCTACATGGCAGGTGGTGAAATTTGAATTTTAAAAAATGCTGTAAAAACCCATCTGGTTTACCAATGTCCTTTAGTAAAGGAAATCTTCCTTACCTAGTCTGGTCTACATGTGACTCCAAATACACAGCAAGTGGTTGATTTTTAATTGCTCTCTGGGACAATCAGGGATGGCTACTAAATATAGGCCTAATCAGCAATGACCACATCTCATGAATGAATTAAAAAACAAAGCAAAAATACAAGGAATTTCACGCTGTGGAACTACAATGTCAAGGAGTGAAACGTGCCATCTTTTTCCATTCCAGGGCATTTTACCCATCACCCCTATCCTTCATTGTCTTCACTGGCTTCCTGACACTTAATTAACAGTTTTCAAAATCCTTCTGCTCACTGACAAATCTTTACATAACATTTCTTCACTGTACCCCACTATTCTCTTCCAGCACCATGTCCAGTTCACACCCTCTGCCATTCCAACTCTTCAACCAATGATAGGTGGCACATCAAGGAGTTTACACAATCACGTACACTGGATCACATTCCCCAACTCTTCAGCACCTTAAACTGAGTAAAAGATATTGAAACGTTCCATCAGTCATGATCATATTAAATGGAAGAGCAGGTTCAAATCAGCAGAATGGCCTACTCCTGTTCCTATGCTCCTGTGTTAAGGATTGTGAAAATTTATCTTTTTGAACAATTTTTTTTGTTCTCTTTCTCAATCCCTACTGGGTGTCTTGATCTTCTGGACTCTAACTTTGAATTAAATTTATTTATGACAACAATCTGAATGTTTTGTTTGAACAATGGAAGGTATGGATTATTTACGAATAGTTCTGAAAGAAGTAATTGAAATACATCCAGATTAATGCAAGTTTTGAACTCTTTGCATATCAGATAATATTAAGAAGGGTGCACACAAGAGAAACCTGGATGTATGTGTCCATAAGTCATTAAAGGTGGCACCACAGGTAGAGAGAACTGTCAATAAAGCATACAGTATTCTAGTCTTCATAAGTAGGTAGCATAGAATACAAGAGCAGGGACGTTATGCTGGACTTTGATTCATAGAGAATCGTAGAATTATCCAGTACAGAAGAGGCCCTTTGGCCCATCAAGTCTCTATTGCCAAAATAACCTACTATCTACACTACTCCCATGGCCTTTTATAAGACACTAGTTAGAACTTAGCTGAGGTATTGCACACAGTTCTGGGTAATAGGAAGGATGTGAAGGGACTGGAGAGTTAGCAGGAGAGGTTATAGTCAGAGATCCGTACAGCAAGGACCTTTCTGTCCAACTAGTTCACGCTGACCATGTTCCCAAAATAAACTAGTCCCACTTGCCTACATTCGGCCCATATCCCTCCAAACCTTTCCTATTCATGTGTTTATTCAAATGTCTTTTAAATGTTGTAACTACTGGCATCCACCAGGTTTTGGAGAAGTGTTCTGATGACAAGACAGTTCAGTTCTGACAAAAGATTGGAGAAGTTGTGACTATTTCTCTTGGAGAGAAGAGGAGGAGATTTGATGGATGTTTTCAAAATCATGAGGGATCTGGACCTAATGGATAGGGAGAAACTGTTCCCACTCTCAAATTGATTGACAATAAGGGGACACACATATGAGGTAATAGAAACAAATGTGGTATGAGGAAAAAAAGCTTTTTCGCACAGATTAGTTAGGATGTGGAATTCAGTTCCTGGAAGTATGATGGAAGATTCAACTGAGACATTGGAGGTGGGTTTATTTAAATAGAAACAATGTGCAGGGTTACGGGGAAAAGGCAAGAGTTTGGCACTGGTTGTAACTTTCCAAAAGTTGTTGGATTCTAGAAAAGCATCAGAGGATTGGAAAACTGCCAATGTGACACTCCTATTCAAAAAGAGAGATGGGCAAAAAATGGGTAACTATAGGCCAATTAGTCTAACATCTATTGTTGGAGAAACATTGGAAGCAATTAAAAAAACAATAGGAGAACATTTAGAAAATCATAACCTAATCAAGCACAGTCAGTGTGGCTCCATTAAAGGGAAATTGTATCTAAATTACTGACTAGTTTATTAGTTTTTCGAGAAAGTCTCAACCAGTATGGATAGAGGGATCCAGTAGATGTGTTGCATTTGGACTTTCAGATGGGATTCAAAAAGATACCTCACAAAAGGTTAAGTCATAAGAGCCCACAACGTTGGAAGCAGTACATTGGCATGGATACAGAATTGGCTAATGGGCAGAAAACAGCAAGTGGGGATAAGTGGTTGATGACCCGTGACCAGTGGGGATTCCAGGGATCAGTGTTGGGGCCACACCTGTTTACAATATATAGTAATGATCACTTAGATGAAGGAAGTGAACATACTCTAGCAAAATTTGCAGATGACATAAAAATAGCTGGAAAGACAGGTAGCGAGAGGGATATAAACTGTTTATAGAGAGATATTGATAGGTTAGAAGGGTGGGCAAAACGTTAGCAAATGGAGTATAATGTGGGAAAATGTGAAATTGTTCATTTTGGGAGGAAGTATCAAAGAAAAGACTTATTTAAATGCAGAAAAACTTCAGAAAGCTGCAACACAATGGGACTTGGGGGTACCTGTACGTGAAACACAAAGCTAGCAAACAGGTGCAACAGGTTATCAGGAAGGCTCATGGAATGTTGGCCCTTATTTTTTAGGGGGATTTGAGTACAAGAGTAGGAAAGTCTTAATGTAACTGTTCAAGGTGCTGTAGAGACATCTGGAGTCTGAGACCCGTTTGGTCCCCTCATTGAAGGAAAGATATCATTTCATCAAAGGCAGTTCAAAGAAGGTTCACTAGGATGATCCCTGATATGGAGGGATTATATCATGAGACAAGGCTAAATAGGTTGGGACTCTACTCACTGGAGTTAATAATGTGAGGTGATCTCATTGAAGCATATAGGGTTCTTGAGGAGCTTGACAGGGTAAATGCTGAGAGGATGTCTCCCCTTATGGGACAGTCTAGGACCAGAGGGCATAGTCTCATAATAAAGGAGTGCTAATTTAAGACTGAGATGAGGAGGAATTTCTTCTCTTAGAGGCTTGAGTGTCTTTGGAATTCCTTGCCACAGAGAGCTGCGGGGACAGAGCCCTGATGTATATTTAAGGCTGAGAGAGATAGATTCTTGATCTGTAGGGGAATCAAGGGTTACAAGGAAAATGCAGGAAAGTGGACCTGAGGAATGTTGCACCAGCCACAATCTTATTGAATGGTGGAGCAGGCTGTAGGGAATGAACAGCCTACTCCTGTTCCTATGTCTTATGGTGCTATGGCCTAAGTTATAATGCTAATAACCAGAGCAGACTTGATGGGTTGAAAGGCCTCCTTCTTTACCATAACAGTTCTGTGAAGAATGTACTGTTGTTCTTCATCATACTTACTTCTTTGCTGGAGCAGTCTTTTGTAAATTCCACAACTTCACAGTGTGATCTTCTGAGGCAGTTACCAAAACAGGTTCAACTGGATGAAATGCCAAGCCTCTTATTCCATCAAAGTGGCTCCGTAACGTGAATTTAGGATTCCAAGTCTTCCTTAATGCATCCTTATTATTAGTGATCTGTGAAAGCCCAAAATATTTCAGGAAATAGCGAATAAGAAAATTTTGTCAAAGCTCCTAAAGACTGAATTAATTAGGATTTTCCCTTTAATCACAACATTTCTTTAGAATGTAATTGAATCATTCAGCACAGGAGGAGGATATTCAGACCATTATTTTGAAAGAGCTATACAATTAGTTTCAGTCTACTGTTTCTTACTCCTAGCTCTGTAATTTGTTCCTTTACAACTTGATCTCTATTTTGTTTTAAGACAGTTATTACTGAATTTGTTTGCACCAGCTTTTCAGGCAGTTCACTGCAGATCATAGAACATAGAACATAGAACATTACAGCACAGTACAGGCCCTTCGGCCCTCGATGTTGCACCGACCTGTGAAAACCAATCTGAAGCCCATCTAACCTAAACTATTCCATTATCAAGTTTATCCAATGACCATTTAAAGGCCCTTAAAGTTGGCGAGTCTACTACTTTTGCAGGCAGGGCATTCCACGCCCTTACTACTCTTGGAGTAAAGAACCTACCTCTGACATCTGTCCTATATCTATCACCCCTCAATTTAAAGCTATGTCCCCTCGTGCTAGCCACCACCATCCGAGGAAAAAGGCTCCCACTGTCCACCCTATCTAGTCCTCTGATCATCTTGTATGTCTCTATTAAGTCACCTCTTAACCTTCTTCTCTCTAACGAAAACAGCCTCAAGTCCCTCAGCCTTTCCTCATAAGACCTTCCCTCCATACCAAGCAACATCCTGGTAAATCTCCTCTGCACCCTTTCCAATGCTTCCACATCCTTCCTATAGTGCGGTGACCAGAACTGTACGCAATACTCCAAGTGCAGCCGCACCAGAGTTTTGTACAGCTGCAACATGACCTCATGGCTCCGAAACTCAATCCCTCTACCAATAAAACCTAACACACCGTACGCCTTCTTAACAACCCCATCAACCTGGGTGGCAACTTTCAGGGATCTATGCACATGGACACCGAGATCTCTCTGCTCATCCACACTACCAAGAATCTTACCATTAGCCCAGTATTCTGTATTCCTGTTACTCCTTCCAAAGTGAATCACCTCACACTTTTCCGCATTAAACTCCATTTGCCACCTCTCAGCCCAGCTCTGCAGCTTATCTATGTCCCTCTGTAACCTGCAACATCCTTCCGCACAATCCACAACTCCACCGACTTTGGTGTCATCCGAAAATTTACTAACCCATCCTTCTACGCCCTCATCCAGGTCATTTATAAAAATGACAAACAGCAGTGGCCCCAAAACAGATCCTTGAGGTACACCACTAGTAACTGAACTCCAGGATGAACATTTCCCATCAACCACCACCCTCTGTCTTCTTACAGCTAGCCAATTTCTGATCCAAACCGCTAAATCACCCTCAATCCCATGCCTCCGTATTTTCTGCAATAGCCTACCATGGGAAACCTTATCAAACGCTTTACTGAAATCCATAACTCATCATAACTCCCTGAACGAAATTCACATTTTCTCTTACAGTTCTTATGCCTATTGCCTTGAATCTATGACCACTGATATTGACCTACCTGCCACAGGGAACAGTTTGTCCTTCCTTCTTCTATCAAAATTCCTCATGAGAATGGACTTTTTTGCCTACTGTAATGAATGGTCAATTTACCGGTTTCTGATTATGTTGATTAGAGGAGGGAATTCACAGAACTGTTGTGAATGAACAACAGGCATTAAGTCCATCAAAATGATTATTGTATTTCAAATTTGCCTTATTGCGTTGTTATTGTGTTGTTGTATGCCAGCTGAACAATTTTATACAAATCAGCAGTCAGGTCTACAGCACAGTGAAAGGCCATTTGGCCCACTGAGTCTGCACCAGTTGAAAACTTACTCTAGTCCCAGTTTCCAGTACTTAGCCCACAACATTGTTATGCCTTTGCATTGCAAGCGTACGTCTAAATACTTCTTAGATGTTATGAGGGTTTGCGTCTTTCCCACTCTTACAGGCAATGAGTTCCAGATTCCTACCTCTGTCTGGGTGAAAAACCTTTTCCTCACATTCCCTCCAAACATCCTACCCCTTGCCTTGAATCTACATCCCTGGTCACTGATCCCTCCACCAAGAGGTAAATCCTTTTTCTGTCTATGCCCCTCAATTTTATACATCTGAATCATGTCCCCCTCGGTCCCCTCTTTTCCAGGGAAAACTACCTCAGTCTATCTGATCTCTCTTCATAACTAAAACTCTCCAACCCAGGCAACATCCTGATAAATCGCCTCTGCACCCTTTCCAGTGCAATCACTTCCCTCCTGTATTGCAGATTCCAGAAATGCACGCAATATTCTTGCTTTGGCCTAACTAACGGCTTATACAGTTCCAGCATAACCTCCCTGCTCTTAAGCTACATGCCTCAGCTAATAAAGACAAGTATCCCACACTTCTTAAAACTCTTTATCTACTTATCCTTTTACCTTAAGAGACTGGCAGACATGCACAAGGTCTCTCTGATCCTACCTTTCATCATATATTCCCTTGCCTTGTTTGGCCTGCCAAGTGCGTCATCTCAAACTTATTGAATTCCATTTGCCACTGATCAGCCTGTCCAGTAATTTAAGGCTATCCTCCTCACTATTTGCTACTCCACCAATTTTTGTATTGTCCATGAACCTACTGACCAACCCTTCTACACTCAAGTCTAAATTTTTTATGTATACCACAAACAGCAGGAGTCCCAAAACTGATCCCCATGGAACCCCACTGGATGCAGACTCCCAGTCACAATAACAGCCCTTGACTAACCGCCTCTGCTTGCTACCACACAGCCAATTCTGGATCTAAACTGCCAAATTTCCTGGGATTCCATGGGCTCTTACCTGTGCTATCAGTCACCCATTAAAAGTCACCTTATTAAAAGCCTTGCTGAAGTCCAAGTAGACTACATCAAATACATTGCTCTCATCTACACACCTGGTCACCTCTGAAAACTTCAATCACGTTGGTCAGACATGACCTCCCCTTAAAGCCATGTTGACTATTCTTGATTAATCCCTGCCTCTCCAAATGCAGATTAATTCTGTCTGTCAGAATTGCTTCCAATAGTTTCCCCGCAAATGAAGTTACACTGACTGGCCTGTCGTTTCTTAGTTTACCCCTCCTCCCTTCTTAAATAACGGTACAAACATTGGTTGTCCTCCAGTCCTCTGACAACTTTCCTGTGGTCAGAGGAATTTAACATTATTGCCAGCACCCCTGCTCCCTCGTCTCAATCAACAGCCTGGGTTACATTTCATCTGGCCCTGAATACTTATCTACTTTAAAGTTATGTCAGTTCAGTCAGAACCTCCTTTCTGTCTATGCTAACTTCTTTAAGAATATCATAGTCCTCTTCAACAATTTCTATCCCCTTTTTGTGTCAGTGCTCATTAGTGAGAGGGACAATTTAGAACCATACCCATGTCCTCTGGTTCCATGCACAATGGTCACTGTTGTCCTTGACATGCCCTACTCTTTCCCTCGTTATACTTTTATTCTTAATGCACTTGTAATTTAACTTAGTATTTTTCTTGATTTTACCTGCCATTACACTTTCATAGTCTTTTTTTGCTCTCCTTTTTAACGTTTCCCCGTGCACATTCTATACTCATCTAAAACTGCTGTTTTAAGCCCTTGGTATCTGCCAAAAGCCCTCCTTTTGTTTCTCCTCTTATCCAGACCTGTATATCCCTTAGTATCCAGGGCTTGCAGGATTTATTGGTCCCACCCTTTGTCTTTATTGGAACATGCTGGCCCTATACTTGCCCCATCTCCTCCTTTAAATGCACCCCACCGCTTTGACACATTTATCTAAAAGCTTATGCTCCCATTCCAATCTGGCCAAATCACACTTGATCTTATTAAAATCAGCCTTCGTCTAGTTTAGAACTTTGATTTGAGGCCAGTTTTTGTCCTTTTCCATAACAATCTTGAATATAACAGATTTATAATCGCTATCTGCAATATCCTCCTCCACCGATACTTCAACCACTCGTCCAGCTTTGTTACCTACAATCAAGTCTGAGACTGCCCCCTCTCTGTAGGGCCTTTTACATACTGGCTCAAAGAGCTTTCCTGGATGCATTTTAAGAATTCTGCACCCTCTAAACCGGAGATCCCTCAACTAATGTTGGAGGAGTTAAAATCCACCTTCCCCATCTCTACCCTATTACTTTTATATTTTGCTTTTTACACTTAACTTTTTATTATTTACCTAGAATCCTGGGATAGTTAATTTATGTGGAACAGCTTCCTTGAAGTCTGATCCTAAGAACAACACCCCCAGCAACAGAGAACTCCTTCAGTGCTGCTATGCTGTTCCAAGTTCTGGGGTAAGGCTTGAACACAAAGGCTTTCTGACTGAATTGAGTATTGCCAATTCAGCCAAGCTATCAGCTTCAATGTTCAATTTCATAAGTTAAGAAGCATCAAATGTTAAATACATCACGCTACAGAGAATCAGGTGCAATGCCAGAGTAGTGAGAAACAGATTTTTGCCAATAATTCCCAACACCATGAAAAGTTATCTTCATAAGAAGCTTTTGATCAATCTCTTACTGGCTGGTCACAAAACTACACTGGTAGTAATTCTCACCTGCACGAGGATATTAATAATTACTCTTATAAACTAAATCTGATCAGCTGACAGAAATTCCAACTTACATCATAATTTAGAGGATCTGCCTCATTAGCAACTGTAAGACCCGCCAACTCTCCAAGACCCAATGCATTCTCCAGTGCTTCACTTGTACCCATGATAAAGGATTTTCCTGCTCCCGGAGGAAAGGTCAATGCCTCAACTAGAGAGAACAATAGTTTTAAGAAAAAAAAGCTTTCATTACCAAAAATTTTCATTCAAACAAGTTAAATTAACTCAAAATAAATGAAGATAATAATATGGCGTAGAAGACTTATGACTGATGGAGATGATAATAAATCAATTCACAAGCATCTCAGGCTTACCCATGTTGATCAGATTCCCTTTCACCTACCTTCTTCTGTTCTGCCAGCTTCATGCTCAGTCAGGCGTGTGGCAGTTGGCCTGGGTGGAGAGTTTACTGAAGACTGCAATGGAGGGAGCTCATCCACGTCTCTTAAAGTAGCCAACATATCTTGTAACTTTGATCTATTTGGCCCTGTTAAGAAACAAAAATAAAAATAAAAGTAATGTTGGATTCTGTATCCCTCTGTCTCTGAAGAAAAGAATGGCTTATTTATACATTTCCAAGTATGTCGATCTTAAAATATTTGTTCAATTTTATTATAAATACCTTATCATAAGTAGAAAAGTGAATCAAAAATGATTAAAGTAAACACGGGAAAGGTCATATTTATAATTATCCAGTTATGGAGTACTTCATTTCTGGCTGCAGTTTTAATTTCATCCCTAAATGAGCAGGCCATCAAATAGAATATGAAACAGGGAAACTAAATCTTGAAGAGTTTAATATCAATCAGGTCTATTTCCTCTATCTCAGTACCGATAAAACTCTTGTACGGCACTGAACTATGTTGAATTTTGATGGACACTAGCGCCCAGCATGTATAGCATGCACAGAAAGTGGATAGGATTTGCCCTTTGAAATTGTTTATTTGAACCATATCTTTGTTACTCTTGAAAGATATCTGATTCTGAACATGTGGACGGTACCTACTTGCAAGGTATGCGTGATACTATGTTCAAACCACTCCAAGTTGGATTCTGATCGCATATATAATGCTACGGCCACTGCTCTGCCAGGACGACGCATTACCTGACATTGACGTGATGTAAACATTACCTACGTTTGTCAGGCAGGCCTGGTGATTGTTCACCAATCTATATTTTGCAGAAAATTAGAAATTGAATATAGACATTTTCTCCAGATAAATTTCAGACACTAAGTTTATATACATTGATGAAACTTTTACTATCTGACAAGCAGAAGGATGGGCTTTAATCAAAATATGACTGCTGAAGTGAGAAATTCTGCTTTTTAAGCTCCCTTCCAGTAAAGAAAATTGACTGGGGGTGACGTAAACAAATGCTGGAGATCACAGTGAGTCAGACAGCATCCATGGACATAGAGCAAGCTAACGTTTTGAGTCTAGATGACTCTTCAGAGCTGAAGTGAAGTGTGAACAGGACAGCATTTATGCTGTAGTTTGGCGGAGGAGGGAGGGGTGGTGAGGGTTGGTGTGTAGGGGTAGTTGATGCAGGGTACTGGTGGAGAAAAGATATTAGCAGCTCAGATTAAGTAATTGGAATCTGAGAATGACAGAACAATGGTGTGACTTCTGCCAGACTTGAAAGGGCAGTATTTGGGATTTGGGGGGGGGGGGGGGGTGGCGGTGGGGAGGAGGAGAGGACATGATAATAAGCTAAAAGAAAAAGGAAGAAATGGTTCGCTATTTAAAGGTGTTGAACTCAATATTAAGTCCAGAAGGCTGTAAAGTGCCTAGTTCAAAGAAGAGACGTTGTTCCCCAAGTTTGTACTGTGGAACGCTACAGCATGTCGAGGACAGTCTTGGTGAGACTGATCGTGAAGGCCTATTGGATAAAGTATTACAAACTTAAAGCAATAGTCTGCAGTCAGCTCAACACAGAATTTTTCTGCCTAAGTACTTAAATAAAACAGGAAGTTTGGGTTTACATAAATGTGTGTCATGGTGTATTACATACACAAGGCTAAATGGAAACAGAAGGACTGTCTTCTGTCTTTTATACAATTAGAACCAGATCTAAAATGTCAGATCACAGTAAAAGACGGAACAAACTCTTTCTACATTCCCTAGATTGCTTAAAAAGAAGTTCTTCCATCCAGTCTGGCTCCATTTTCAGATTTGATACCATTATCTCAGGTTTTCTTCACTGAAGATTCAAATCTGCAACGAGAAGGAACCGAACACAAATCCAGAGCTTCATCCTCTGAGTTCCAGAAATGTCTCTCTATCCCACAGATAAACTGGATGAGTCAAAGCACATGTGGGTTTGGGTACCTACGATCAAGTCATTACTGAGATAAATTCAATTGTCTATGATCTTTACTGGTTTTGATACTTTGGCTAAACCAAGATCAACAACAGTAACATTTTAGAGATTTTCTTCCAGTCACAATATTAAGACTTATACTCAAAAGAAAACTTGCCCCTCCCAAGGAATCATCAATTCCTGTTGAGAAGAAGAATGATCTCCAGCTATGTTAATTACTGACCAAATAATTTTCTGAATTTTTCCACTCCTTACCTTTCATCGCTAGTGATGTTTGACTGGCCTTCAGTACACAAACCCAAAATCTATGGCTTGAAATCATTTCCATTTTATAATAAATGAAATTGCAAAAATTAAAATAGCAGACGAAAACTGAAAGAAGATTAAAGAGTTTTGGGTAGCAACTTCCAAAGAAAGTTAAACCAAGCCAATGATGAGACACAGGATCAAGAGTAGCTGAGCATGAGCAGGTAGCATTAAAGGAACAGGAACAGTATCTGGATACTTTTCTGAAAAGAAATCGCAGCATGAGAGGGTTTATGAACCAAAAGTATACCAGATTTCATACGCACTTACTCTTCACCCCCTTTTTCCCCTTTCGCTCCTTTTTGTACTGCTCCTTGAGTTTGGTTATTAGTCCCTGGTCCACGTCCCAGCTCTCTGATGTGGGACATACATCTTCCTTGTCTAAACACAGCACAGTGAAACAAATCAGAGATCGCTTCATGGAACAATCTTACACTATTACTATGGTAGTTCCAACATATTAATTTAAAAACAGTATCATTGCAAACAACCCAGTAGCAAAATTTACTTGAAGTTAGAGCCAAATGACAATTCAGTTCCATGGTAACCTTTTCCAGACAGGTTCATATTTAGATATTAATGACCAACATAAAATTCACCATCAAGTAAAAAAAAAGCATTGCTATATTGGAGTATTCTCAATTTTGGACTAATTCAAGTACAACTAACACAAGTCTCATATTTGTTGATCACTCCAGGTACAAGGCACGAGACTTGCACGCTAAACAACAAACGGATGCCTACAAGCTCATAAGCCACCTATTAGATTTCAGACAGCAGCTACATAACTCAGATTTTTACAATCGATATATGAAAGCACCTGTCAAACCACTTCAATGCTCTCAGCCACCACTGTATCCATAATACTGACTATAAATATCTTGTGATATTACAATTATGGTATTACAAGGTTTCTCATTGCTTGTAAAGTCAAGTTTACCATATTAACAATTTGCATATTATAGGATCAAGCAACTGTTGTATGGTTTTCCAACAGTATCTGTTAGATAAAGTTAAATTCATCTACATGCCACAGTCAACCTGCTATAAAGACAGATTTAAAAGCAGACTCCTGTTTTTAATCTCCACTCAAATCCCATTTCCCAGCAAATGAACAAGCAAACACAGGTCATTCACAGGTTACACATCTCCAATGACCTCCATTTATGTTGGACTGCATTAAGTATGGATGCTTGATGATGATTAATTGACTAAGTAAGATGGACAAATCCCTTTGTGCAAGACCATGGGTCATCACAATGACTGCAACGACTATTGGGCATCTCTTGTTAGGCATCATGGAAAAAGTATTTGCCTATGCTGACTTTGTCAGATTGCAGGTCTTGACTGAACACATCCATCCAAATCCTAGTGTAGCTTCAGAATTGGAAGATTTATATTAGGCCTGATCTTCCAATCTAGCATCTGCAAGTGAAATGCCTTAAGTAAGGGACAGCAATATATATTGCCTTCAATGGCCTCTGCAAGGCATTTAACCATGTGAGTACAGCAGTGTATACAAGTTGTTGAAGAAATTGGCTGCACGCTGAAGTTGCTCAATGTGATCTCCTCTGTCCACAAAACATGATGGGTATCAGAGCATTGGAATCCTTCGAGGTTCATGGGATTCCCAGCAGGCTAGAGAGGACAGACAGCAATTCAGTCTTGCTCACCTGAAGTCCAGAACAAAGATGGACCAAGCCCTCAGAGTATTGTGATACACCGATGAGCACAGCGGCAAATGGGCAGATTCTCTCAACTGTAAAGATTTTGATGTCATTATCAGCCTCAGGAAGGTGAATGTCTGGGATGCTGCTATATCACTGTCTATCAGCATTGACAATGTGACACTGGATGTTATCTATGACAGCTTCACATATCTAGGTTCTGCAATCACGAGCGATCTGTCAATTGATGCTGAAATCAACACGTTTCACAAAAGCAGCAGTTGTTCAAGTTGACTGAGAGTGTGGAACAGCAGCAAATTGACTCAGAACACCAAGTTTGAGTCCACCCAGCCTGTGCACTCAACGTGTTCCTTGACAGTAGTGACGCCTAGATAACATATGCTAAATAAGAGAAAAGGCTGAACAGGCTCCACCTTTGTTATCTCAGACATATCTGTTGGCAGAACAAGGTCAACAAGCTGTGCATGGTCAGGAAGGACAGATCACATCTGGAGTGACAGTCTCAAAGAGCGTATCATTCAGGGAATTTGGAGTGGACACAGGGAGGAGGAGCCTTCTGTTTGCTTTTTTGGTTCGTTGTTTATGAGGTCTATTTACAGGACATATTCAAACTCAGGATCGGGGCACAGCACAAAAACAGTGACATCATAAGAAAATTGCAAATTTATTGTTTGGTAACAGCTACCAGTTTGACTATCTATTATGGGTTATTTTCAGATTTAAGGTAAATAGGGGAAATATTTACAGGTTAAAACTAAAAGACCAATAGGAATTTTTAAAAGATCAAATTAAGAGCTAACTAACTAAAACAGAGATACAAGGTCAAGTGATGCGCTGTGTCTATGATGTGGGAACTTGTGGACCCATTGTGGTTCATAGTAACCATACGTATAGCAAGTGGTGGCTGCTTGAGGAATTCCAACTCAGTTGATGAGCTGGAGTCTGAGCTTCAAACACTGCGACACATGAAGGAGTGGCAGAGTTACTTAGATATTGTGTTGCAGGGGCAGTCATATCCCTTAGAATAACTATCTCAAATTCGGTCAGTGCTCAGGGTCAGGAGGGTGTGACTATGAACAAGGCAGGTAGAGGGATCCAGGAGATAACAGGTTTGAGATTCTTACTCCCTGTGTGAAAAAGAGTGGGAGCTGTAGGGTGGATGAGTAAACTGACCATAGCACTGTGGTAAGGGAGCCATTCAAGATGGGGGAGAAAAGAGAAATGCAGGTGTAACTGTTAATAGCATATTCAGGGGAATAAACACAATTCTCTGTGGCCAGGATCGAGAATGCCAAAGGCAGTGTTGCCTGCCTGGTGCCCAGGTTTAGGATATCTCTTTTGGGTTGCAGAGGAAATTTTGGAGTGGGAAGGGAAAGATCCAGTTCTCGTAGTCCATGAAGGTACCAACAACATAAGCAGAAAGAGGAAAGAGGTTCTGCTGAGGAAATATGAGCAGTTAGAGGCTAAATTGAAAAACAAACCAGAAAGGTATTAATCGCTGGATTACTACCTGAGGACAGCTAATTGGCACAGGGTCAACAAAATTAGAAAAGTGAACGTGTGCGGGAGAAACTGGTTGCAATTCATGAGACAAAGGTATCAGTACTGGGAAAGGAGGGAGATGTTCTGATGGGATGGGCTCTACCTAAATCATGCTGGGTCCAGAGTCCTGACAAATTGCATAACTAGGGCTGTGGATAGGGCTTTAAAAGAGTGGAGGGTGAGTTCAGTTGCATGGACAAAAGTTAAGGGTGGGGGGAGGCTTAGCAGAGGTTAAAGTTTTCAGAACAAGTGGGAGGACACAGTGCATGGCAAGGATCACGAATCTAACTTCAGTCACAGCAGATAAAATGACAACTATGAGAAGGGATGCACTGGACACAAGATTGAGAGTGTTGTATTTAAATGCACATGGTATACAAAACAAGGTAAATGAGCTTGTAGTGCAGATTGAAATTGGCGGGTGCAATGTTGTGAGTATCAGAAATGTGGCTGCAAGGGGATCAGGGCTGGGAACTAAATACGCAAGGATTCGCATCCTGTCGAGAGGACAGGCAGATGGGCAGACAGGGTAGGATTGTCATGCGAGTTAGAAAATAAATTAAATTGATAGCAAGAAAGTGTACAATCTGTGTGGGTAAAGCGAAAGAATCGCAAAGGGAAAAAGACCCTGATGGAAGTTATGTGCAGACTATCGAGCAGTTGTCAGGATGTGGTGAAGAAAATAAACCAGGAGATAGAAAAGGCATGTAATAATAGCACTATTACATTAATCATGGAGAACCTCAATATGCAGATGGACTGGGAAAATCAGGTTGGTAGTGGATCCCAAGAAAGAAATTTGTGGAATGTGTACGAGATGGTTTTTTTGGAGCAGCTGCTGCCTAACAGGGAATGACAATTCTGGTTTTGGTGAAGTGTAATGATGCACACTTGATTAGGGAGCTTAAGATGAAGGAACCCCTAGGAGGCAGTGACCATACTATGATAGAACTTATCCTGCAGTTTGAGACGGAGAAGCTTAGATTAACTGTAACAGTATTATGATTGAGTAAAGTTAACAAATAAGACATGAGGGAGGAGCTGACCAGATTTGATTCCATGGGGAGCCTAGCAGGGAAGATGGTAGATGAGCAGTAGCAGAAGTTTCGAGGATGGTGTTCTTTCAGGAATCACTGGTGTCAGGGAAGGTCCCAGAGGACTAGAAAATGCCTAATATAACACACCTGTTTAAAAAGGGAGACAGGCAGAAGAAAGGAAATTATAGACCATTTAAGCCTGACTTCAGTTGTAAAATTTTACAGAGTCCATTATTAAGGAAGAGCTTGTGGAGTACTTGGCAATGCATGGTAAAACAGGGCTGAGTCAGCACTGCTTCATCAAGGGGAAATCGTACCTGACAAATCTTAGAATTCTTTGAGGTGGTATCAAGTAAGTTGGACAAAGGAGAGCCAGTGGACGTGATCTGTTTGGATTTCAGTTGGCCTTTGTCATGGTGCTGCAAAGGAGGCTGCTAAATTATATAAGAGCCCATGGTGTTGGGCAAAGTAATGGCACGGACTGGCTGACTGGCAGAAGACAGATTGGGGATAAAGGGGTCTTTTTCAGGATGGCAGCTGGTGACTAGGGGAGTTCCGCAGGGGTCAATGTTGGGACCACAACTATTCATGCTATACATTAACAATCTGGATGAAGGAACTGACAGTATTGTTACTACATTTGCAGATGACACACAGAAAGATGGAGGCACAGGTAGCGTTGAGGAAGTGGGAAGGTTGCTTAAAAACTTGGGAGAGTCAGATGGAATATAAGGTGGAAAAGTGTGAGGTTATGCACTTTGGTGAGAAGAATAGAGAGGCATAAACTATTTTCTAAATGGGGAAAGGCTTCAGAAATCTGAAGCACAAAGGGACTTGGAAGTCTTAGTTCAGGATTCTAAGGTTAGCATGCAAGTTCAGTTGGCAGTCAGGAAGGCAAATGCAATGTTAGCATTCATTTCAAGAAGACTGGAATACAAGAGCAGAGATATACTGTGGAAGCTTGGAATACAACAGCAGAGATCTACCATGGAAGTTGTATAAAGCTCTGGTTAGACTGCATTTGGAATACTTGAGCAGTTTTGGGCCCTGTATCTAAGGATTGATAAGCTGGTGTTCAGAACAGGTTTAAAAGAATGATCCCAGGAATGAAGGG